AGAGAGAGAGAGAGAGAGAGAGAGAGAGAGAGAAAGAGAGAGAGAGAGGGGGGAGGCTGTTTGTTATTATAATAAGAATTATTGTTTCCTGTCATTTTCTGTCTGCGTCAGTTCTCAGGCTGACCCGGTGCTATACAGTCTTTGTTGTACACATGTGGCCAGTTCCATATATTCCCAATCCTACCTTCTGTTTCCCATCTCTCACCTCCTGTTTCCCATATGTACCGTATCCAATTTTACATATCCCATATCCCAACTTTAATTCCGTAAGCACTCTTCGTTTTCTTTCATCTCAATGGGTGGAACGCTTGAAACAGGCCAAAATATTAAGCAATAATATACGCCACCTGTCGCCAATGTCCAAATCAGATGTGCTGTTCAAGCACATGTTTTCCACAGCTTGGTATAATACTGTTTTATTCGGAATCAAGGCTTGGTCTCCATGAGATTTCTTTGATGTATCCTCTTTGGTAGCGAGTTTATTTACTTTCCCTAACTTACAATTCACCCAGCAAGACTCAGGGATCCATAACATTATGATGTCAATTTAGTCAGATCAATACAGTCGGAATCAAACAATTATAAGAAATGTAACAATCTGACAAGACTAATATCGAAAGGGGGCTCTCGTGGCCTAGAGGTTAAAGTGTTGGCCTCTCATTCAAAGGTCCCGGGTTCGAATCCGGGTAGCGACCGAAAAATTATCTTCCCTAAAATTGTCTCCTTTCAACTCCTTTCATGTTCTCTAACAATGTTCTGTCGTCTGCTTTCGTCTCCACTTTCTGCCACCATCCCCTCACCTCCTTTGCCCCCTCCTCTGGGCTCTTGACTCTTTCTGCAGCCTTTCTTCTTGGCTCCTTCTTAGATGCTGTCTTTCAGCCACAACCCTGATCTTCTGGTAGGAAAGATCTACACCTAGCCCTCTCGGACAAGGGCGAAAAATCTCGGAGCGTCCGTGTGCAAGTTGCGCACCTTAAAGATCCCTTGGTGGTCTAAAATCGATAAGAGTAGGCTTCCGCCGCCACCCGGGCTAAATTCAAAATTTCCTACCAACTGAAAAAGTCTAATGCGCCCCTCGCCCTCATAGGACCTTATGCAATTGTGAGCGCCGTAAACCACTTACCAAAAAAATATTTTTAAAAAATAAAAATAAATAAAAATAATATCGAAAACGCTCCCTCTCGAGAGAGGTAATGTGACTCTCTTTACATAGCACCAGTGGTCGTATTTCAAGGACCCAGATGCTGGGGAAACAACTTGTTGTTTGATATCACACAAAAAAGAGACTAAGGACAGTTTGAATCTACCAGGCATTGTTCTAAAAGATCGTAACATCAAGTCTTAAAGAAATTGTAAAACAAGACTGCATTGTGTCGCAAGAATACATTCGCTTCTTAATTAAGTTGGACAAAGAAATTTACTATCGTAGCACGCAATGCCATTATTTGTCTGGTAATTCTGTAATTAATATGATGTCGACCAGGGACAACGAGCTAGACTAACTACAACACTAACTAAACATCGTTGCGATATGAAGTGACTGGACAGCGAACTACATGAGTTCGATCAGTGAACATCTGTTGCCGCTTACTTACTTGTCCTTACTTGTCCACTCTGTTGGGGTCACTGCAGTCGGAACATGTCCATCTCTGCTCCCCCCCC